GGTGGTCTCCTCTACTGTGTGGGTGGTCTCCTTTATTTTGTGGGTGGTCTCCTTTCCTTTCCTGGGTGGTCTCCTTACTTTTTGGGTGGTCTGTTTTACTGTCCTGGGTGGCCTCCTTTGCGTTTTGGAGGGTCTCCTTTACTGTTTGGGGGGGGGTCTGTTTTACTTGTTGGGTGGTCTGCGTTACTTTTTAGGAGGTCTACTTTACTTTTTGGGGTGGTCACATTTACTTTGTTTGGGTGGTCTCCTTTACTGTTTGGGGGGTCCCCTTTACTTTCCTGGGTGGTCTCCTTTACTGTTTGGGGGGTCTCCTTTATTTTTGGGGTGGTCCCCTATACTTTTTGTGTGCTCTCCTTTACTTTTGGGGTGGTCTCCTCTACTTTCGGGGGACCCCTTTACTTTGTGGGTGGTCTCCTGTACTTTCCTGGGTGGTCTCCTTTACTTTTGGGGTGGCTTGCTTTACTCTCTGAGTGGTCTCCTTTACGTTTTGGAGGTTCTCCTTCACTTGTTGGGTGGCCTCCTTTACTTTTTGGGGGGTCTCCTTGACTTGTTGGGTGGGCTCCTTCACTGTTTGGGGCGTCTCCTTTACTTTTTGGGCGGTCTGCTTTACTTTTCCTTCACATTTTGGGTGGTCTCCTTTACGTTGTGGGTGGTCTCTTCTACTTTTTGGGGGGGTCTTCTTTACTTTTTGGGTGGTCTGCTTTACATGTTGGGTGGCCGGCTTTACTTTTTGGGTGGTCTGCGTTACTTTCCTGGGTGGTCTTCTTTTCTGTTTTGGTGGTCTTCTTTACGTTCCTGTGTGGTAACCTTTACTTGTTGGGGGGTCTCCTTTACTTTTCGGGGGGGGGTCGGTGTTCCTTCTTGAGTGGTCTGCTTTACTGTTTGGGTGGTCTGCTTTACTTTTGGGGTGGTCTGATTTACTTTCCTGGGTGGTCTGCTTTACTTTTTGGGGTGGTCTCCTTTACTTTCCTGGGTGGTCTCCGTTACTGTTGGGGTGGTCTTCTTTACGTTCCTGTGTGGTCTCCGTTACTTTTTCGGGCGGTCTGCTTTACTTGTTGGGTGGTCTCCTTTACGTTTGTTTGGTGGTCACCATTGCTTACCTGGGTGGTCTCTTTTACTTTTTGGGTGGTCTTCGTTACTTTCCTGGGTGGTCTCCTTTCCTTTTTACGAGGTCTCCTTTACTTGTTTGGTGGTCTGCTTTACTTTGTTGGTGGTCACCTTTGCTTCGTGGGCGGTCTCCTTTACTTTCCTGGGTGGTCTCCTTTACTTTTTTGGATGGTCTCCTTTACTTTTTGGGTGGTCTCCTTTACTTGTTGGGAAGTCTACTTTGCTTTCCTGTGTGATCTCCTTTACTTTGTGGGCGGTCTGCTTTACTTTCCTGGGTGGTCTCCTTTACTTTTGGGGTGGCTTGCTTTACTTTCTGGGTGGTCTCCTTTACGTTTTGGGGGTCCTTCTTTACTTTTTGGGGGGTTCCTTTACTTTCTGGGTGGCGTGCTTTACTTTCTGGGTGGCCTGCTTTACTTTTTTGGGTGGTCTCCTTTACTTTCCTGGGTGGTCTTCTCCTTTACGGGGGGTCTTCTTTACTTTTGGGGGGATCTCCTTTACGTTTTGGGTGGTCTGCTTTACTTTTTGGGTGGTCTCCTTTACTTTGTGGGTGGTCATCCCCTTTTCTCCTCCTCCTCTTCCTCCTCTTCCTCCGCTTCTTCCTCCTCGTCCTCCTCCTCCTCATCCTCCTCCTCCTCCGCCTCCTCCCCCTCTCCGGTGAGTGCCGCGGAGGGTGGAGTGTCGAGGGGTGCCGAGGATGGGGAATGCCGAAGAGGGTGGAGGAGTGTGGGGTGCCGATTAGTGCCGAAGAGGATGGAGTGCCGCGGAGTGCCGAGGAGGGTGGAGTGCCGACACATCGGCTCTAGAGGTGCCGCCGCCCGGAGGCGCAAGAAGGGGGTCCAAAAACGGTGGTCCATTTGCGGCGGTTCCCGGGGTCCAAAAAACGCATCCTGGAAACGGAAAAAACAAACTACACCGCTGAGTGGGGGGCTCCGGGACGTTCTATTTCGGAGGTCCTCAATAAATCAAACAAGTTCTCAATCAATCAATCGGCCAATCAATCAGTCAGCCAATCAGTCAATCAATCAACCCATCCACCAATCAACCAATCATCAACCAATCCGTGTCTGCACGACGCATCGGCTGAACAAATGCCGCCCAAAGCAAGGACAATACAAGGAAGCCGCACTCAGCCGCGCCGTTTTGTCGATTTGTGGGGGTCCCTGGGGGTCTGAAAACCGATGTCCGTTCGCGGAGGCCCCTGGGGATGCAAAAACGCCCCTTGACAACCTGAGCAGATACAACGTGGAAACGTGGCCAAGAAATCGTTGGCATAATCCCCTTAAGAAAGCCCCCAACGAGCCCCAGAGAGCCACAACGCGGCAGTAGCAGTCGTAAGACGGCCCTCTCCTTCTTCGCCACCTCCTCATCCTCATCATCCTCATCGTCCTCCTCATTTTCCTGCTCCTCCTCCTCCTTCTCCTCCTCTTCCTCCTCACCTTCCTTTTCCTCCTCCCCTTTCCTGCTCCTCCTCCTGCTCCTCCTCCTGCTCCTCCTCCTCCTTCTCCTCCTCTTCCTCCTCGTCCTCCTCCTCCTCCTCCTCTTCATCCTCCTCCTTCTCTCCTCGGGAAACGTTATCTGTCCCGTCGCGGCCCTAACCGCGTCGAATCCGCGCCGAATTCGTGTCGGACTCGCTGGATCCGTGTCGAATCCGCGTCCAAACCGCGTCTGGTCCACGCCAAATCCTGTTTGCGAGGTCCCCAATCAATCAGACAAACAACCAATCAATCAGCCAATGCATCAATGAATCTATGTATCAATCAATCAATCAATCAATCAATCAATCAATCAACCAAACAAACAAATCAATCCATCAATCCGTGTCTGCACGACACATGGGCTGAAAAAGTGCCGCCGGCTGGAGGTCCATGTCTATCTAGAGCAGGGCGCAAGAGCAAGGACAATTCGGGGAAACCGAAGTCCGCCACGCCGTGTTTTCGATTTGCGGAGGTCCCCGGGGCCCAAAAACCGACGTCCGTTCGCAGGCCCCCGGGGGTCCAAAAACAAACCTCGGAGACTCGGAGAATACAGCGCGGGAGTCCGAATTGGGCCCCCGGAGGCCCCAGGACCTCGCTGTCGCCGCCAGGGAGTCGACATCTTCTTGGCCAGGGCTACAGGGCAGGTTTTAATACATAGGATGTTTAAACACATAGGATTTCTAATACATGATTAACTTATGAATAATTTCATGCATGCACTCATCGTTGTTTATCCCTGCGTTTTGAATACATGATCCGCACGCGGAGCATGTATTAAAAAACGGCACTGTAAGCTGCTGGCGAAGGTGCTGACCTTGTCGGGCTGAATGCCGACGTGCAACTCATCCCTGAAGAGGATGTACAGAGAGGCAGCAGCCTGAGTGATATTGGCCAGAACTTCTTGTGCTGTGCCCGACGTGGTGACGCTACCATCGTCAACGTAAGAAGACAGGGCGACCTGCGGGTTATCAGCAACGAACCGATGACGGTGATGATGGATACATGTGGTTCGATGACTCACGGCGCGAGGATGACTTCATTGCCCGCGCACGCAGAGCCTCCCAACCACGAGCGAACCTCAGCAGCCAGGCGCAGCGCTGGGGACTCCCCAGGAACGATGCAATGGCAACGCACCGTGCTCTCCCAGTTACCACCGCCGCAACTGTCCAAAGCCACCCTCGCGCCCGCTGGCCTCCGCGGCCTGCCCCGGAGGGCGCGCCCACCATCGCCGAGGCCAGGGTGGCCCTCAACGGGCACGCGCGCGCGTGGGTGCGTGTGTGCGTTGTTGCGTTTGCGCGCGCGCTAGCGCGCGCATGCGCGCGGCTGCGCGTAGACGCGCGCCCCGCGCGCGCGCCGCGCACGCGGCGCGCGAGGCGAGCGAGGAAGAGGAGGCGAGGGGGGGGGAGGGAGGCGAGCGAGGGAGACGCGAGCGCGAAGCGGGTTGGAAGAAAGCAAGAACCCCACTAAACACGCGGGGAAAAAGAAACTAACTTGACAGAGACAACGCCGCTTACTCCTCCGTCGGCCTCTCCCCTCGCCCTCGCCCTCGCCCTCGCATTCGTCCTCGTCCTCGCCCTCCCCCTCGCCCTCCTCCGCGCCCCCCACACCCCCGGCCTCCTCCCCCAGCTGCCCCCCGCTCTTGCGGGCGCGGGCGCGCGACGATATGGCCCGCGAGCGCTGAAGCCAACGACGCCGAGCGCCGCGGCGTCTGATCTCGAGCTTCGAGCTCCGAGATCCCAACCACAATGATAGATTCCTGCGCGCAAGAAAGTCCCTCGTTTCGACTGCGCGGGAAACCTGGCAGGACATTGCGGGGGCTCCGAGGCGAGCTTTGAAGCAGAGACTGCGACAGCAAGCACATAATATTGAAACCCTCGCAGCATACACCCGGTGCCTTCGGCGAATTGCACTGCGCCAAGCGCGTGCTTCACGAATTCTCAAAGAGCAGAACTACACAGCTCAACTGTTGATGCATCAAATGCTGCTACGTGGCAAAGTGTGCCAGCGTGGACCCCAAACCGAGCGCCTCTCGAAATGCACGGCGCGCAACCTACGTTGAGCAGCTTATGTTGTATACGATGTGTATAAACATACATATATACATGATCATCAACACACAAGCACACATACAAACACGCGGGCAATTATACATATATGCATGCATACATGCATACGTACATGCATACATGACCACTTGCAACCCTAGATATATGTATATATAAACATACATGCATGCATACATACATAGAACATACATATGTGCATACATTCAGGAATGCTTGCATGCATGCACACAAACATGCATACTTACATACATACATGCACGCATGCATACATGTGTAATACATACAGACGTACATCCACATACGTATATATAGATATACTCACATACACCTACACATACACATATACATACATATGACGATGCTCACTTGTCCAGCACTACGCGCGAAGCCCAGCATCGAAGTGCACGCGAACGGACTCGCGAGGCGCGCCGGCAGGAAAACACGCCCAAGGGGCGCCCGCGCCACCGCAGAGCTCACGCCCAAGGAGGAGGGAGGGAGGAAGGGGCAAGAGAAAAACTTGAGCCATCACGAATACGAACGGACTGGACTCGGATCGGTGGTTCAGCGGCGATTTGTTCGCTCTGCCACACCTGCAAAAATCATAAAATGACAACGCTCACTTTTCCAGCGCTACGCGCGAAGCCAAGGATTGAGGCGCGCGCGAACGGACTCGTGAGGCGCGCTGCCAGGAGAACGCGCTCCAGGAACGCCCGCGCCACCGTAGAGTTTGCACCATAGTCCATGGTTTGTTCCGGTGCAGCCGCTGAGAAGACGCCGGGCGGGACACCGACAAGCGCAAACTTTCGGGGCATCCTTGGGCGCGGCGGGCCCACAAAGCGCCGTTGTTATCTTTCCCAGACAGGGGAAAGTGGGGGCGGCCTGTGACGCCACACTCTCCACGAGAGCCTTTTACATTTGGTTTCGAGAGAGGCGGCGCCCGAAAAACTGCACAGAATAATGTTCCCTTCTCTCCACTTCGCGCAGTACTTGCAGCAATCAACTTCAACTCAAACAAAAAGGGGGCGACGGATGCCTGGCACCTTCCAAAGGATACTAGCGCGCGGGTTCTCTGCCACCGCACAAACTTTGTGCCGGCGACAAACCCGGAGAAGCCGAATGACAGAGCGCGCGAGAACATTCGCCTCCGCAAATTTCTGATTGTGGATCTGACAGGCACTGGACCGGCGCCCCCAGCACGCGCGCGGCTGTAGGTTTGGCAAGGCAGCCCAAACCAGACGAATTGGACTTGTCGACATTGAACCATATCGAGGATATGCTTCTGCACGCGAGCCCTCGAGACATCGGAGCCGCCCCCGCCCGAGATCTCGCGGCCCACGTGGGGGCCCCGCGCGCGGCCAGCGCTCCGCTGACGCCTGCCGCGACGGCGAAGACTTCTATGGCGGCAGGCCCCGCGCGCACAGAGGAAGCGGAACGCCGGGCGGCAAGCCGAGGGTCCACTCCTCGAGGCTCGCGCACGCCAGCTGCGCAAAGGCGAGCAGGTGGGGCGGCGTGGTCAGCATCGCTTTCTGCGCCCGCACACTCTTCTCGCACCTGCGCAGACTGGCGCGCGTCTCCCAGGCGCCTCTCTCGCAGGCCTCCTCGGGGGCTCGAGGGCCCGACGTTTGAGCGAGATGCTCCTCGCGGCGCCTCCGCGCCTGGCCTGGCGCGTCACCGGCTTGAAAGCCTCGAGCCCCACGTCGACGCAGGACTGGTCGAAGTGCTTCTTGTAGAGCCGCATGCCGACATGGGAAACAACATCGCCGGTGGGCCTCCAACCCGCGAGCGCCCTCACCAGGCGCGCGGCGTTGATGTCGAAATTGCCGAAGATGATCGCGTCGTCCCGGGTGCCCGTCTTGCCGGCCTCGCCTCTCTCCTGCGGGAACAGGATGATGCCCTGGCGATTCGCGCCCTCCGCCGCCGCCCGGGTCAGCACGTCGCCGACCCCCGCCGACATCAACGCCCCGGGGCGAAGCTCGCGTCGACAGACGTCACCAGAGCTATCGGCGCCTGCGCGCTGCCCCGCCAGCGCATGGCGGCCGCCAGTGCCGCGCACCATTCCCAGGGAAGGGGAATGCGACTGGCCGGCGGCGCCTTCTTGCGGAAGCCTCTCAAGGCCCGGCGGAGGCGAGGGGCCGGGGAGCCCCCCTCGGCCGAGGTTGGCCACGTCCGCGCGGCAAAAGAGCACAGCCCCGAGCAACGTCTTCCCGAGGCCCCCCTCCAGGAACCGGAGATCGAAATATTCCACTGCGGCCAGGTCTACATCTGCGGGGGTCGTCGCGCCCAAGCACTCCTGCTTGGCAAACCGATTAACGAGTCGAAGATCACTCTGTAGCGCTTCTGTATGGCCTTGCCCACGGACCCACCCTCGAGTAGACTCGGCCCCACGCCCCGCGCTCTCGGAGGAGCGGGCTCGGGGCTGGCGAGCGCCCGCCTCGACCTCGCGGAGGCCCGCCGAGCTCGCAGCGCTCTCGCCCCGACTCTGCCCCGGCGCGGCCCTCTCGCTCGGCAGCGCCGGCGTCAGCCGGCGGCTCTCGGAGCCAGCGCCCGCGATCCGCGCGGGCCCAGCGGCCAGCGCCCCGAGGCGCTCGGGCGACCGCCGGCCCGCTTTCAGCGGCGCGGCGGCGCCCGCCAGCGGCGGCTGGGACAGCCGGGCAGCCTGCCTGCCCCTTCGAAGGGAGGCCCCGCGCTCGGCTGCGAGGCGGCGTCTCCGCCCCGCCGACGGGGGGCGGCGCCGACGATGGGGCCACTCGGGCAGCGCGCCGGGTGAGTCGGGGGGCCTCTCGAGCGGCCCCCACCACCATCGCCGCCGCTCGAGAGGACCTGCTCGCGGGCGGCCCGCGCTCGCAGCTGGGCGAGCCGAGCCCCGTCGGCGACGTCGGCGGCGGTCTTGAGACGGCGCGGCGGCGCATCGGCGCGGTCAGACTCTGACGGGGCCCATCTCCACCGCGCGCGCAAGCCTACTGCGAGCGACGCCGCCGCGAGCTGACGACATATCTGGAGCAAACCGTCGTCGGCGGTGCGGCCCTTGGAAAAGGCGAGCACCGCAGCCGCGCCATCTGAGAAACCTAGCATCCGACATCCGCGGGCCCTCGGGGCCCCCACCCCCCCACGAACGGCGGCGAGACAGCCCCGCGCCTCCAGGCTGTGAATTACCTCCCTGCGCCCCCGCGGGGCAGCAACAACGGCTTTCCACCGATCTCTAAAGAGCACTTGCTGAGAGACATCGGGGAAGGCCTCCTGGGGGCCCCGCGCCCGCCCGGCAGGCTCACCACTCGGCTTTACCGCGACAGGGACACTCGATGGGGTCGGCGGCCGCTAGTCGTTAGCCCTAGAACCCCCCTCTCGCACTCCAAACGAAACCTCCAGCGCTCGCTGTAGGCGCCCTCGGACTCCAGTTCGCCTGTCGCGAGGGTCGCCTCGCAGACTCCGCAACCGGATGGGCTCGCGTCGGTCGCGAAACAGAGGGGGGGCCCAGGGGGCCCGAAGATTCGAGTGACACAGCGGCAACCAACAACCCAAGATCCAGCACACTCGAGCCGCGCTCGGCCAGAGGCGACCTCGGGAGTTATAATGCTTGCAGACAAACCCGCAGCTAGAACTCAACGCAGAGAGAGATATCGCCGAGCAAGCAGCTGAAAAGTGACGTGCCCGAGGAGCAGTTCCAATTGTCTTCCAGACACGACCGGGCGACGGGCGAGAGCGAAGAGGGCCGCGTGGAGACGCCGCTGTGTCTGGGGGGCCCCACTAAAGTGCCCGCGAGCCCCGCGCAGGAGGAAGCCCAGACTTTGAGCCCGCTGGGCTGCCTCCTCCTCCTCCTCCTCATGCGCTTCAAAACCTAACTGGCGACAATGCTCGGCGACGCGCTCCCAGGCGCGACTCGCTCTTTGGGGGCAGGTCGCGGCGAAGGTGAGATTGCCACAGTGAGGAGGGGCGAGGACAGAGGGGCCACGTAGAGGGCGAGGAGGGAGAACGATCGAGCAAGATGCAACCTGGCGGCAGATCCAATGCCCGCCCAACTTGTCGAGTGGGCGAGCTGGGCGACAAAAACCAGCTCCACCCCGTGGGCAGCGCGCGGAGAGCCGGGCGCCGCGGGCCGCGAAGACTCCCGGGGCCTAGGAAAACGGGCGGCAGAACGGAGCGTTCGAAAAAGCTGAAGCTGGCGGCGTCAAGGCTGAAGTATCCACTGAGCTCTGGGGGGATGCCACAAAAATTAAAAAAGTCCTTGACATCGGAGAGCGAGAACCAGGCCTGCCCCCCCTCGCCAATGGCAACGTCCGCCCACGCGGCTCCGGTGCTCATCGGGAGGTGGGGAGTCGGGCGGAAGCGTCGATTCGTGGCACGACAATCGATCACCAGACGCTAACGACCGTTTTTGTTGCGCACAGCAGAAGCTCCCACCTTGCAGGCAGGCTTCAAAACATAGGCCAGGTTTTAAAATGTTTGAACCCACCCCAGGGCTTCGGATCAGAGCGAGCTTTCACAAGCGCCTGCGTCGCACATACGGCCCCCCACTCTTCCTCGTTTAACAAGGTGCGTTGCTCGAAATCTACGAGAAATTCACTGGCATCACTCGGCGGACGACCCGCGAGATCCACAGGCTTCCCTCCGGCGCGGGGCACCGAGACTAGCTCTGAGTCGTAGGGGCCAGACCAGAGAAGCGCCGAGAGGGCTTCCTCGGAACTAGGGGGGGCAAAATTAAGCTTGAAGGCGCGAGCTGCGTCTTCGAGCCGATGGAAAGCTTCTTTCTGACAAGAGGACGCCGGGCGCAAGCACGGCTCACAGAAACCTGCAAGAGAATTCAGCGCACCCACCATCACGTTGACTCGGTCGTAGCACTGGTCCCTCTCAGCCAGGCGTTGCCTCGCCCCTCGGCGTAGACCAGTCTGGCGGCGTTCCCACCACTCCATGCCGAGTCGCGGAGCGCTGTCCTCTCTACCGCGGGAAACTGTCTCGGAGAGCCCAATCGCGCCAATACTTCTTGAGGATGGCGCTGGGTCGCTGCCGATCAACTCGGAGACCGAACATGACGCCGAGGACGAAGCGGTAGACGACGAAGAGGTCGGTCGGTCGGTCAGTCGAGAGCCTCGGATGACTCAGTCAGCTGAGCTCTGTCGGGCCGGTGCAAGCGTCAAAGTTAGCCTGCGGCCCACTGGAAGGCCGACTGCGAGAATCGGCCGATGGGGGGGCCAGATCGGCCCCCGGCGCCGAGGCGCCAGGGTGGGGCCAGTGGCCCCCGACCCCCTCGGAGCGGGACTCACGCCAGAGAGAATGAGAGCGACAGGGAAGAGGAGGAGGAGAAGGGGGAGGAGGGGGGGGGGGGGGGGAGGGAGGAGGAGGAGGAGGAGGAGGTGGAGGTGGAGGGGGAGGAGCAGGAGGAGGAGGAGGAGGAGTGGGGGAAGAGGGAGGAGGAGGAAGGAGGAGGAGGATATATCGGGGCTATCGAGGAGAAGAGCGCGCGGTCGGTGCCGCCACAGCTCCACGCACTTGTGCCCCTGCCTTGCCAGTGAG